AACAGAATAGAGAGACAACCACTGGAAGTCAGACATAGAATATTGATGGCAGATGTAGAAGGGAGGACAGGGTTGGTCGTTGTGAAGGAACAGAATAGAGAGACAACCACTGGAAGTCAGACAAAGAATATTGATGGCAGATGTAGAAGGGAGGACAGGGTTGGTCGTTGTGAAGGAACAGAATAGAGAGTTGAAGGATAGGTAGGGCAGTCTAGACAGACAGCAACTAAGAGTCAAACATCGTGTATTGATGGCAGGGGGTAGACTGGGCAGAAGGTACGGAGGTGGAGATACATACAGCAACTAGACATAAGCGTTGCTCAGAAGAGACAGAGGTTGTGTTACAAGAGTGGGGAGATGGTGTAAGGCGTGAATAGACTTGACACAGATGACAATGAGATTAGAACATTGTTAGTGGATTGGACTAGTTTGTAGTAGGTCTATACACAGGTTCTAAGGTCTATACACGGGTACTAAGGTCCATACACAGGTACAAAGGTCTATACACAGGTACTAAGGTCCATACACGGGTACTAAGGTCCATACACAGGTACTAAGGTCTAAACACAGGTACTAAGGTCCATACACGGGTACTAAGGTCCATACACGGGTACTAAGGTCCATACACGGGTACTAAGGTCTATACACGGGTACTAAGGTCTATACACGGGTACTAAGATCCATACACAGGTAGTAAGGTCCATACACGGGTACTAAGGTCCATACACGGGTACTAAGGTCCATACACGGGTATTTAGGTCTATACACGGGTACTAAGGTCTATACACGGGTACTAAGGTCTATACACGGGTACTAAGGTCTATACACAGGTACTAAGGTCTATACACGGGTACTAAGGTCTATACACGGGTACTAAGGTCTATACACGGGTACTAAGGTCAATACACGGGTACTAAGGTCTATAAACAGGTACTAAACTAAGGTCTATACACGGGTACTAAGGTCTATAAACGGGTACTAAGGTCTATACACGGGTACTAAGGTCTATACACGGGTACTAAGGTTTATACACGGATACTAAGGTCTATACACGGGTACTAAGGTCTATACACGGGTACTAAGGTCCATACACGGGTAGTAAGGTCCATACACGGGTACTAAGGTCCATACACGGGTACTAAGGTCCATACACGGGTACTAAGGTCCATACACGGGTACTACGGTCCATACACGGGTATTTAGGTCTATACACGGGTACTAAGGTCTATACACGGGTACTAAGGTCTATACACGGGTACTCAGGTCTATACACGGGTACTAAGGTCCATACACGGGTATTTAGGTCTATACACGGGTACTAAGGTCTATACACGGGTACTAAGGTCTATACACGGGTACTCAGGTCTATACACGGGTACTAAGGTCTATAAACGGGTACTAAGGTCAATACACGGGTACTAAGGTCTATACACAGGTACTAAACTAAGGTCTATACACAGGTACTAAGGTCTATACACGGGTACTAAGGTCTATACACGGGTACTAAGGTCTATACACGGGTACTAAGGTGTATACACAGGTACTAAGGTCTATACACAGGTACTAAGGCCTATACACGAATACTAAGGTCTATACACGGGTTCTAAGGTCTATACACAGGTACTAAGGTCTATACACAGGTACTTAAGGCCAAGCAGTGGTCATTGAAGCAGGAATTAAATAATTTACAAAAAATATACAAAAGCAATCTCTGAACCTTCAAGAACACACAGCGGTTTCAGTAAGTGTAGTCAGTATGAAATTCTATTTCAAGCGTTAACCACATACTGCCAATTGTAGTGAGTTTCGGACAAGTCAGAAGAAGAACACGCGACAGATGCAAGCTATCGGCAAGTTTTCCCTGGTGGCACATCAAGGGCAGAGTAAGGACAAGTTCAACCACGAGCTACAGGCACTTGTCCGGAAGGCATTAGGGGGTCGACAACGGAATGGCAGGGACATGTGGCGGAAGACAACGGAGAAGATTAAGACATAATGAAAGTGATGGTGAGAAAACATTATTGGGGAACGCACAAAGTACAGACTTTGAGTAAGTGTCTGGGATGCCACGTGATTCACAACTGTGGGCAGAGGACGACCGTGTTGTTGGTGTTTGTGGAGGCAGACGACAGAGAAGACATAATTATGATCAATCCTGAATGCCAAGGCTGCAGTAGGAGAGATGGTTTCACACATTAAAGTGTTTTGGAGATATGATGTTAGCATTGATCAAGTGAAGGAAATCATAAAATGGTACCTTGAAAATGAATTTCATGTATGCACGATTGTCCTTGTAGGCTACATATACGGCTACTATAATCACATACGGTAATGTTGAAAAGAGAAGCTATTCTTTTTGCAAAGTTCTGTATAAATCACCGAGATTGTTAGCTGACCTAAGAAATACGTCACCTTCTGACAATTCGAGTTTTCAGCCGACCTGGGCCCCGTTCCACAAAGCGATCGTAGCGCTAAGATGATCGTAACTCCCATACTTTAACATAGACTTACGATTGTCGTAGCGCTACGATCGCTTTGTGGAACGAGGCACTGGTCACCTACTATGACTTAGCTTTTGACTTTTCGTTTAAAGCTTAAAACCTCTACATTGTAGTTCTGATTGGGCCATGATATTCAAATTAACGATTGAAAGGCTGTTTGTCTTAAAAGATACTTTAGAGAGTAGGCCTGTAGCGCAGTATACCACAGTCGTTACAAAAATATTGGATTGAGATTATGATGTCCTCGTCCATCACACAGACATTTTCACAGAAAACATATTATCTTGAATGTCCATGTTTTAGTTCTACTGATTTCGTTTCATTGTTAATAACAACTTTACATTGAACCACCATGTATTATGTGTAAATATATAAATACAAATACAGCATTTGATTTGTTATTAATACATTTATATGACAATTTGGCTTTAACTCTAATTTTGAGTTTATCATCACTGCCCGGTATTGTTTTCGATGATCGTACATATATAACGGAAGGAATCTGTTCTGCTTTCTGTTTAGAAAATAGTTGGGTTTGTTACATGCAGCCCTTATATCCCTTCGTGGCTATTTTAAAGATAGTTATTGAATACTTGAATAGAAGACTAAATTCTCTGTGTGGAACATTTGGAACATTGAGATCGAAGGAGTTTTTTATCTTCAATACAATACAAGTAAGGTTTACATGTTAAAGTGTGTCAAGTCAAAAAGTCAGCCTGTGATGGGGGTTGTGCACAATGGTAAGAGGCGACTAACGGGATCGGGTGGTCAGGCTCGCTATTGCGTAGATCGATGCTCCTGATGTTGTCCACTGGATTGTCTGGCACAAACTCGATTATTTACAGACCGTCGACATGTAGCTGGAATATTGCTGAGTGCGGCGTTAAACAACAAACAAACAAATACATCATGTGTATAAACGCCTGTGAACACCTGAAAATATACAGTTTCTGCGTAGAACAAATTACAAATCCCTTTCAATGCTCAGAAGAAGTCTCTGCTAACAGCAGATTCGATTTACGATCTTGACTATATCGACATTGACTCTATCAGGTTTTTGCGAATATGTTCATAAATCTGAAACAACAGTCGAGATAGTTTTCATGTTGAGATTCTCAAGGCAGACTGTAAACAGGAGATTGTTGACCTGGCCAATCGGTACATATGGTAAACGGAATGATCAACGATCAACGGTACAGGTCCAACTCCATACTCAGGTGATTAAAGACGACCGTTTAGTCTTCTCTTACCACAAGCACCACATCCTTAGACATTCCAATGGCCAGTTCAGAGAAGGACATATTAAAAACATTACCTGCGACTTTTTGTAAATGTTATTTAAAATATCAATTTAAGATTTAAACGGATGATGTGTTTAGAAGTTGACATAAATAAACAAATATATACATTCCTTATCCAACGAAAAAGCAACTTGTAAATATACAACGTCAACGCTAAAGAATAATCAAGTAAAAGAGAAAAAAGTGGGGATAATTATGCCAACGAATCAGAGATATCTCACAACGATCGCCCCGGTAGAAACCCAAATCAAACAATTTGCATATTTACATTATTCCTAACGGTCAACACAGGGAACAAACTATCCGAAGTGCCACAATTAAACATTTGTCAAATGATTTTTTTAACTCGAGGATAGTATAATTCAGTAGTTGTCAAAAACATTGCAGACATATGGAATGAAGAACATTTAAAAGAAAAGTCGCGCAAGGACATTCACAATAATGACTGTCAAACACTTCTATTCGTGTCTCAATGATCACATCATATACAGTTTGCATGATATAATGTATGTAAATTGGGTTCATGCGAAACCATGAGCCGTTTCTATGGATATGAAACTACCGGTACCATCTAGTGTGGTGCACAACGAGTATATTTCGTAAACCTTTTCTGATTTTCATGCATAGGCTTTGTTCCTATTTAATGAACAACAGAATCTGTTTCGACGGATAATCGAGACTGGTTAGAATAAATATCCTCTCATACGTACCAGGTAAAAGGTTTCGTACAAAATACATCTGAAAATCTGCCAACAAGTGGACAAAGTGAACGAGCGAGTTTGGATTAAGTTCTCATATAACAGTTTACCCATCAAGGTCCGGATTAGAATGAACCTTCAGTAACTCATGCTTGTCGTAAGAGGCGACTAACGGGATCGGGTGGTCAGGCTCACTGGCTTGGTTGACACATGTCATCGGTTCCCATTTGCGCAGATCGATGTTCATGCTGTTGATCACTGGATTGTCTGGTCCAGACGCGATTATGTACAGACCGCTGCCATATAGTTGGAATATTGCTGAGTGCGGCGTAAAACTAAACTCACTCACTCACTCATATAACAGTTATTCAGAAACTGTTTTGAAGGAAAGACCTAAATCTTAACTCACCAGATCGTTTATGGTGCTGAAAAAAATAGAAACATACTTAGGGCAGACCGAGATTCGGACTCATGGTCTGAGGTTTCCAGCACGTCTCAGATTACTGTGCCACTCCTGCACCTGACGAGAATACCAGCAGGATATGACATACAATAGCACTTCTAACCACTAAAACGATTTGCATTTTCTCTATAGTATAGGACGGGTGATAGCTATGATAAAGAGTAAATCCTTTTTTCCAATAAATGTCTCAAAAAAGATTTACACTAATAGTACAATGAAAGACATTATAGCCAATGCCAGGAAAACCAAGAATAGTTTTCTTTCCAGTGATTTGATAAATTTCCTCCCACTTGTCTTCGCGACGTCAGTTTCAGTCAGAGACACCTTTGCACTCAGTTTATCGAGATCTCCGTCACCAGGCAGAGATTTCATCCCGACAGGTGTCGCCTCTGTGCTGGAATGCATCTTGTCGTCTGCTCCATGATACAGGTTGAGGAGGCCAAGTGTAGTCAAGATGGCGGCACAGCTTTGGCAGAACACCAGGATCAGGTAAATGGCGAGGCGAGATGGAACTCCAGACTTGGGCAACACTTCAATGACGAAGTTAAGGAACACAGCGTACGTGACGAGGATTGAAATGAGGAAGGAGATCCTCTCTCCCGACTCTACAGGCAGAAGGAAGGCACAGGCGTTCATCACGGACAACAGAGACACGGGTGTGATCACAGTCAGAAGATAAAACGTGTACTCACGTGATAGACTGAAGACAATTTTGGCAACGTTTTCTATGCAACAAAAGTTGGGCAGCTTTTCTACAAGCATAGAAACGTTCTCCACCTTCCATTCGACACTCTTCCCCATGATTCCAGCGAAGGGGTTAGACTCATGAAGGACGGCTTGGAATTTGTAATCAACCATAGCACTGAGGAAGATGTAACACTGCTGCTTGTCAAAAGGATAGCGTGTGACATCAACAGAGCATTGAGTGTGGAACAAGTCAGTGATTGTCATGGAAACGTGACCATCTCCAAAGCCATATATCAAAGTATTCTTAGACTCTAGTGGAGAGCCAGCATTGTTAGAAAACAGTAATGGTGGTGTCCATATTTCATTTGGCTTTATTCGCAGATGAGAAGGAGTCTCATGTGATGAACTGTTCCAAGCAAGAAGTGGGTCATACCATCTGAAAGTCAGTGTCCCAAGAACAGTGAGTACTTGACTTGCGACGTCGAGACCCTGGACATAATGCAGTAAGAAGGACACGTTCACAGTGACCAAGTTAGGATCTTCTGAGGGTGATGGCGGAATGTCCTTTGGGTATCCACGAAGGAGAGCGTCTCGGAACGTCTGCTGTTTCAACGTACCCGATGAGTTATGTGGAACAACGAACGGTAACACTGAAAGAACCAACATTACATTGACCAGCATCCTCGGTGTATTGAAACAGGACTGTTTGAGACGAAGTTCAAGTTTCAGTCTAACCAGTACACGATCCACGAGCATGGTTGTAGCTATGCTGATGATCCATTTGCTGCACATAATGTAAATGTCAACATTCATGAAACCATTTGTGAATTTATCAAGTGTAAATGACAATATATAATCTTTGGTTCGTGTAACTGAAGGCTACTGCTAATGAATATAACATTCATGATAGAGAGCTTGGTCAATAATGAAGGATGTTAACTGCCTCCGTATCTCAACAATGTTAAATACCAACAAATCCTAACAGGGGACATTGATAACAGTATTGACGTTAATTATGTTATGTCTTCTTATCTTTATTTTGTGATGATAGTTGACAGAGGAGGCTTCACTGTGATCTTTGACAATGGTGACATTTAATCACGATTCATGCTAATGAACATAGCAAGCTGTGATGGAGTTCCTTTATTATCAGGAGTAATTCAAATGGTCACAAAGATATGTGCACGAATACTCACGAGAGGGTTCCATTTGGATGTAGCTCAACAGAATTTTCACTGCTTGGGGACATAAGTAGCCAAGTGGAAACTGAATCTCTGCAGAGTTATTTCCCTTGGCAACTCACTCAACCGTCACCCACATCTCTAGGAAATCGGATACAGGTACTTTTTGGGGAAGTAGTAAACTTGTCCCCCACCCAGTCTTTCTTAAGCCTAATATAAAGTTGACTATAAACAAATCATTTAATTCCTGAATTAAAAACGGCAGAAAAATAAAACTGAGTGAAGGCATCACTAAAGGTTGGTTCAGATTTGCAGATCACATCACCTTATTTAAAAATGTATAACGCATATGTCTCAACGAACGTTATGCCAAATATTATATGTGTCACAATGTATACTAGCCACATAAAGAAACTGTGCATTGTCAAAATATTATCCCAGTTGATAAGTACGATAACAATGTCAAAGGTACATATAAACTTTAATGGAGGGATCATGAGACCATAACAAGTCGGGAGAATTTCAATTGAAAAGTCAATCACAATGACGTCACGAGTCCACAAGCAGGACAGGAGTCAAACGACCATGTCACAAGCTCAATAACGGGTATGTCCACCATTGGCATTGAGAACAGCAGTGCATCGACGACGCATAGAGCTTATCAAACGTGCAAGGAAGGCTTGTGGGATGTCACGCCAGATTCTCTCAAGTTCTGTTGCAAGGTCAAGGACGTTATCTGGCGGATGAGGAAGACGGCGTAGACGTCGATCCATCTCGTCCCAATTAAACATGCTCTATCGGGGAGAGATCCGGTGAATTTGCAGGCCAAGGCAATAAGTCAACGTTGTGGTGTTGCAAGAAATCCATAGCAACCCTTGCCGTATGAGGGCGGGCATTGTCATGTTGCCAGGGCCATGACGTTGCAGAAAAGGAATTGCCACAGGTCGAAGAATCTGATCTCTGTAGCCCACACCAGTTAAGTTGACCTGAACAATCACCAAAGGAGTTCTTTGGCGTTCTGTTTTTCCACTCCAAATCATCACGGAACCACCACCAAAGCAATTCCTCTCCATGACACAGGCCTGTGCATAACTTCTCCCACGCGTCTATAGGCACGTTGACGTCCATCACTATGGGAAATGTTAAACCTTGACTCATCTGTAAAAACAACATTTCTCCACCAAAACAAGGGTCTGCGCACATGATTTCGGCACCACATTCGGCGAGCTTGTCGATGACGTTGTGTCAGGATAGGCCGTATGACGGGACGTCGTGGTCTGATCCCGTGATGACGTAAACGTTGTCGAACTGTGTTGGGGTGGATACGGCGAAGTCCTGGGATGGTTCTGGCAGTCATCACTGCAGTCTGAAACCTGCGGCGAAGATGGGTCACCCTTATCCATCTGTCCTGTCTTGGCGTTGTTACACGTGGGCGTCCAGAACGTGGCCGACCGATGACGTCATTTGTGTTCTGGTAGCGTCTCACCAGTGCAGAAATGGTGTTCCGGTGGCAGTGGAAATGTGCAGCCACTTGTCGTTGAGACATTCCCCCACGGACCATCCCAATGGCCTCATGACGTTGTGCAGACGTGAGCCTTGGCATGCTATGCGTTTCAATAGCCGTTTAAGTTTTTGACCGATCGCAAGGGCAGGGGTTGAGCTTTCCAAAGTGATACTATTGTGTGGCATTCATTTGCTCTGTTTCTCTTTCCCGGAATGCACGTGCAACAACGTATTGCACGTCTCAAGGACGAACCCACTGACGTCACGGAACGTGGCACGTGCATGCATGTTGGATACATGTCACTTATCTCTGAGTTTAAATCCTTATGTGTCTACACAGGTTTGATAAATTTAGATTTTAAAATTTTGTATGCACAGTTTCTTTATGTGCCTAATATATCATAAATATTAATACCAGTGGAATATCAAAATCAATTTGGACAGTTAAAAATTATTGTAAGAGGGATTGGATGTCGGAACTGTGGAAAGATATTTTTCTGGATGAATATGATTCCTTTCAATTTCAATTTGGAAAAAAATGTACCATTGATTAAGTACCGCTATTTGAAACCATATACCTTTTATCTCATAAATAATAAAGTATATTATCAGTATATTACTAGCCTCCATATCCACCTGTCATTTCATCATGCAATGGCCAGACCGCCTCCGTGGTGTAGTGGTTAGAGCGTCCGCCCGGAGAGCGGAAGGTCGCGGGTTCGATCACCGGCCGTGTCATACCAAAAGACGTTAAAATATGGTGCTTGTTGGTTCCTGCCTGGCGCTCGGTATTAATGAGTACAAGGACTCGTCGGCTCGGAGTACGTATATTCTCCCAAAAAAGAAACGCATCATGAAAATAGCAACTTCATTAGCAATGAATTAAAACGTGATTCATTTTACAAAGGGTTTTGCTCTGTTTATGAGTTCTATGGTGTTTATGTTTTGAAATATCACAACAAAACGCACCATCCGTAAAATACGCGTATTTAACAGCATGATTTTCAATTTCGGCGTGTAGTGTCACAGAATACACAATTCATATGAAATGCACGTGAAAGTTGGGGATCAGATAGTCTCAATGATGGGTATAAAAGGTTGACCGCTGTCTGTCGATTATTCACTGTATTTGGAATATTGTTGACGAACGCAAAATGCCACGTCTAAGCGAAGCCAACCGTCATATAGCCATTGGTTTGCTTGAAGCTGGCCAGTCTCAACGTGCAATTGCCCGACGCATGAATGGTCACCAAAGCACCATTTCACGGCTCTGGGAGAGATATCGCCGGCAGAATTCGGTAGCAGATGCCCCTCGTAGTGGGCGACCTCGAGCGACCACTGCGGCGCAGGATGGCTACATCCTGGTACATCACCTGCGTCATCGAACAGCTACGGCGACCAGTACCGCTCGACAAATACCCGGATTGAGGAGGCTTTCTGCACAGACCGTCAGGAACAGGTTGAGAGAGGCTGGTTTACGTGCCAGAAGACCTTATTTTGGCCCTGTGCTTCGACAACAACATCGTCGACATCGACTTCGATGGTGCACCAACGTTCAGGCCTGGAACCTACCGAATTGGCGTAGAATCTGGTTCAGTGATGAATCATGATTTCTATTGGAACGACGCGATGGAAGAATGCGGGTGTACAGACGTCGACGTGAACGTTTCGCCGACGCTTGCGTTCCCAAAGGTGGACAGATTCGGCCGGGGAAGTGCTATGATGTGGGGAGCGATCACCTGCCGTAGGAAAAGTGATTTGGTGATGATCCAGGGCAACCTGACAGCTCAACGGTACTGTGACGAAGTCCTACGCCCACACCTCCTTCCAATCATTGATCGCCAGAGGACAATGCCAGGCCCCATACAGAACGTCACACTAGAGACTTCCCCCAGAACCACAACATCAATGTGCTCCCCTGGCCCTCAAGATCACCGGACTTAAACCCGATCGAACATCTGTGGGATGCCCTGGACAGACGGGTGCGACGCCGTAACCCTCAGCCCCAGACACTTCAGCAACTCGCACAGGCACTACAGGCAGAGTGGGCTGCGATTGGGCCACACGCGATTCTGAGACTTATTCGTTCGATGCCGAGGCGATGCCGTGTAGTTCTGGATGCCCACGGTGGTAACACAAAGTATTGACTTCAGCGCCACCACACGTCTCCATGTGACACTCAAACTGACTTTCCTCGAGTTGGTGCCAAAGACGGATAAGTCTGCATTCCCAGTGTGCAATTTCGCTATATTTCATTGACTCATAAAGCCTACAAGATGTTTCAAAATAAACATAAAAATACAGTTGAAATTCCTATATGCGTTTCTTTTTTCGGAGAGTATATTATGTGTCTGTGTGGGGTATTCATGCTTAACTGCGGCATGGTATCTCAGTGAGCTAGAACAATAAAACCAGCTTAAGTCTGGACTAGTACAAGCAGCCACACATACACACGCATGCACGTCGTCATATGAGCGAAATATTCTTAAGTGCGATGCTAAACCCCATTTCAGATCGAGGAGCTGCTCAGAAAAAGACGTATTTTGAATACTACCTATGACTGTATGTAATTGTACTCTAATATCCATAAAAGATTGAGGTGGATGGTGTATGTAGAATTTGAAATGAATGAATACATGCCTTATACTGCAATGAACAGACAACTTGTCAATATGAAACATTAACAGTCTCGTTTATAAAAGGCAAGTTAGCAGTGAAAATTATATTGGATCAGTAATGTTTCCAGGTGTTCGCAGAAGGGCATGCATGCCCCACTCGACCACCTGAATCCAATAATTACATTATCAGGGTATTTCTAACAGACCAACACACAAAACATGTATCCAGTCAAAGGGCCACAGAGAGCATACTTCACTGATTCAGTCACTGAGGCTGTAACTCCAGCTAAGGCGAGATCCGCGTCCCTTTCAAGAACTCAAAGCCCGTGAAGAAACGGGTTAGAACTGATCTTCAGCAACCTATGCTTGACGAAAGAGACAACTAACGGGACTGGGTGGTTGGACTCGCTCTGTTGGTCGATGTACGTCATCGTATCCAAATTGCGTAGATTGACGTTCATTACGTCATTTATTACATTATAGCTTTAAAATTGCACGTTGTGGCGTTAATCAACAAACATTTATGAACTCAAGGCCTTAAGGATAGTGTAGTAGTCGATGTCAAAAATATTCCATACAACTTTCTGATGATTACAAACGCTCCAAACTATCAACACTTGTATGGATGGCTAAACGACCACAGCATGAAAAATCGACTTGATGTTATGTATTGAAAGGCGAGTGTTGGGGAATCAGCTCGCTTGGCAGGAGGTGAGCCAATACCAACCTACACACAACACATCATCTGAGGAAATAACCGAGGAGTTTATTACACAGCAGTCACAGGATGATTTACATAATCAGTCAATGATAGAAAAGTTTACAATTAATTATTAAAACATGTTAACAATGCAATCAGCTATCAAAGTACATAAACATGTAGATTCGCTACACACGACACATACTACATTAATCACGATACATATTCCAATGTACACAACAATAGTTCAATACTCTACACATCACCCCAGTGGGCGTTCATACAATCTACATTCCATAACAGTCCAAAACAGCATCGTGTTCATAACCAAATACAATAGTTTAGATACCCAACACACTCTATACAAAATGTAATAGTCACAAAACAGCGTAGTGTTAATTAGTATTAAATACACAATCCTAAACAGTAATACAGAATATATATGAGACATATGTAGCCCCAAGGCGTTCATCACTTTGGTGAAATTTACAAGCATAGGTATAGTGCACGAAAACGTAGAAGCATACTTGTGGCAAACCTTGATTTGAACCCATGGTCTGATGTTACCAGCAATGCTTCAGATGACTGTGCCACACTTCTAACCACTCACAAGAATGGTTTGCAGTTCCTCAGTAGAATAGAACGGTTGATAGATATCATGAAGGATAAAACGTTTTCTTGTAATAAAGGTTGTCATGTATTACACGAACAGAATAATGAGAGACAACAAGGCAAATACCAGGTAAACTAAGAATAGTCTTCTCTCCAGTGATTTGATCCATTTCTTCCCTCTTGTTTTCGAGGCTTTTTGCTCACTTATTTCAGTTTCAGTCGGACACAGCGTTAAACTCTATACAAAATGTAATAGTCACAAAAAGGGTAGTGTTAATTAGTATTAAATAAACAATCCTAAACAGTAATACAGAAAACTCAGTCTATTGAGATCGACTCCAGGCAGAGATTTCTTCTTGACAGATGTTGCCCCAGGGCTGGGCTGCCTCTTGTCGTCTGCTCCATGATACAGGTTAAAGGAGGCCAAGTGTAGTCAAGATGGCGGCACAACTTTGGCAGAACACCAGGATCAGGTAAATGGTGAGACGGGACGGAGTTCCAGACTTGGGCAACACTTCAAAGACGAAATTTAGGAACACGGCGTACGTGACGAGGATTGAAATGAGGAAGGAGACTCAGCAGGCAGAATGAAGGCACAGGCGTTCATCACGGACAACAGAGACACGGGTGTGATCACAGTCAGAAGATGAAACGTGTACTCACGTGACAGACTGAAGACAATTTTGGCAACGTTTTCTATGCAACAAAAGTTGGGCAGCTTTTCTACAAGCATATAAACGTTCTCCACCTTCCATTCGACACTCTTCCCCATGATTCCAGCGAAGGGGTTAGACTCATGAAGGACAGCCTGGAATTTGTAATCAACCATAGCACTGAGGAAGATGTAACACTGCTGCTTGTCAAAAGGATAACGCGTGACATCAACAGAGCATTGAGTGTGGAACAAGTCAGTGATTGTCATGGAAACGTGACCATCTCCAAAGCTATATATCAAAGTATTCTTAGACTCTAGTGGAGAGCCAGCATTGTTAGAAAACAGTAATGGTGGCGTCCATATTTCATTTGGCTTTATTCGCAGATGAGAAGGAGTCTCATGTGATGAACTGTTCAAGACAAGAAGTGGGTCATACCATCAGTGTCCCAAGTACAGTGAGGACTTGCCTTGCGACGTCGAGACCCTGGACATAATGTAGGACACGTGTTAAGGACACGTACACAGTGACCAAGTAAGGATATTTTGAGGACAATGGAGGAATGTCCTTTGGGTATCCACGAAGGAGAGCGTCTCGAAACGTATGCTGTTTCAACCTACTCGATGAGTTATGTGGAACAACGAACGGTACCACTGAAAGAACCAATATTACATAGACCATCATCCTCGGTGTATTAAAACAGGACTGTTTATGACGAGTTCAAGTTTCAGTCTAACCAGTACACGATCCACGAGCATGGTTGTAGCTATGCTGATAATCAATTTACTGCACATAATGAAAATGTTAACATTCATGAAAGCATTTGTGAATTTATCAAGTGTAAATGACAATATATAATCTTTGGTTCGTGTAACTGAAGGCTACTGCTAATGAATATAACATTCATGATAGAGAACTTGGTCAATAATGAAGGATGTTAACTGCATCCGTATCTCAACAATGTTAAAATACCAACATATCCTAACAGGGGACATTGATAACATTATTGACGTTAATGTTATGCCTTCTTATCTTTATTTCGTGATGATACTTGTTGGAAGAGGCTTCACTGTGATCTTTAATCAGTTATTAAGTGCGGGGCAGGTTAAGGCCAAGGTCGTCAATGGCGCATGGGCACGACACAATTCTGTTTGCGATGAATAAATGGACGTAAACTCATTATGACAGTGAGATGTAAGTGTCTCCGAAAGAATGGCGACTAGCGCGCTGACAGGCGCCATCAGTTCAACATGTTTTGGTGCAAGTCGTTTGTGTATACTGTGAAATAACAAGAAAATGGGTGAGTTACCGCTACAAATTCTGAGCAGGGATTTTGGCTCGGAATCGAGAAATCACGATTTTTCGAGCTTCCGAAGACCCTAGCTCCCAAAGTAGTGCTTCGAATTTTGTACTGTATGTCTCATTTTGTAGGTAAATCTATTGGCTTGAAATGTGTGCATACTTTAAATGGGATTAATACAGTGAGTATTGTTGAATTCGCCCTGAAACGAACCTGGTGTGTTGACCTCGTTACATCCCTTTCCTTTTATATAGTACTAAGACCCCGTCAGTGACAGTATATACCTCGATGGCAGTTTTTAGCGTTACAAGCCCCTGTGCAGAAAATAACACTTCTAAACACTCACAAGAATATTTGCAGTTCCTCAGTAGCATAGAAGGGTTGATAGGCATCATGAAGGATAAACGTTTTCTTGTAATATATGTTACCAGGCACTACACGAACAGAATAATGAAGGACGACAAGGCCAATACCAGGAAAACCAAGAATAGTCTTCTCTCTAGTGATTTGATCCATTTCTTCCCTCTTGTCTTCGGGACTTTCGCCTCACTGACTTCAGTTGGAGGCACCCTTGCACTCAGTTTATCGAGATCAACAACGTCTCCAGACAGAGATTTCTTCTTGACAGGTGTCGCCTCTGTGCTGGGAAGCATATTGTCGTCTGCTCCGTGATACAGGTTGAGGAGGCCAAGTGTGGTCAAGATGGCGGCACAACTTTGGCAGAATACCAGGATCAGGTAAATGGCGAGGCGGGACGGAACTCCAGACTTGGGCAACACTTCAATGACGAAGTTAAGGAACACAGCGTACGTGACGAGGATTGATATGAGGTAGGAAATCTTCTCTCCCGACTCTACAGGCAGAAGGAAGGCACAGGCGTTCATCACGGACAACAGAGACACGGGTGTGATCACAATCAGAAGATAAAACGTGTACTCACGTGACAGACTGAAGACAATTTTGGCAACTTCCTTGACACCATGAAACTCTAACACTTCTTGTACAACCAAAGACACGTTGTCTACCTTCCATTCGACACTCTTCCCCAAAAAGTTGGTGAAAGGGTTGGATTCAACATTATTGGCCATGAAACTGTAACCAACCAAAGGATTGAGAAAGATGCTACACTCTTGCTTGTCAAAAGGATAACGCGTGACATCGATGTAACATTGAGTGTGGAACAAGTCAGTGATTGTCATGTAAACGTGACCATCTCCAGAGCCATATATCAAAGCATTGCTAGAGTCTAGTGGAGAGCCAGCATTGTTGGAAAACACTAATGGTGGTGTCCATATTTCATTTGATTTTAATTTCAGATAAGTAAGATTCTCGTGTGATGAACTGTTCCAGACAAGGAGTGGATCATACCATCCGAAGATCAGCGTTCCAAATACAGTGAGTACTTGACTTGCGACGTCGAGGCCCTGGACATACTGCAGTAAGAAGGACAGGTTCACAGTGACCAAGTAAGGATCTTCTAAGGGTGATGGCGGAATGTCCTGTGGGTATCCACGAAGGAGAGCGTCTCGGAACGTCTGCTGTTTCAACCTACTCGATGAGTTATGTGGAACAACGAACGGTACCACTGAAAGAACCAACATTACATTGACCATCATCCTCGGTGTATTGAAACAGGAATGTTTTTGACGAGTTCAAGTTTCAGTCTAACCAGTACACGATCCACGAGCGCGGTACTGGTTATGATATGCATCCATTTGCTGCACCTCATCTATCTGTCAATATTCATGAAAGTATTTGTAAATTTATCAAGTGTGTAAGTGTTTTCCATTACGTCAATGACATATAGAATCGTTAGATCGTGTGATTGAAAGCTAATGCAGTGAAATGAATAAAACGTTAATACTACGTACAGAGCTTGGTCAACAATGAAAGATTTTAATGGATTCAGTAGATAAACAATGTTAAATTCCAACAAAGAGGACATTGTTTACATTATCGACGTCAATGTTTTGTCTTGTGGTCTGTATTCGTGATGACAGTTGCCACAGGAGGCTTCACTATGGCCGCTGGCAATGGGGACATTCAATCATAATTAATGCTATTGAATAGAGGAAGTTGTAATGGAGGGAGTGCCTTCATTAATGCGATTCCCATGGTCACAAGGAGTGAGTGAGTTTCGTTTCACGCCGCACTCAGCAATATTCCAGCTATATGGCGGCGGTCTGTAAATAATCGGGTCTGCGATCTATGCAACTGGGATACAATGACATGTATCAACCAACTCAACCAAGCGAGCCTGACCACCCGATCCCGTTAGTCGCCTCTTACGACAAGCATGAGTTACTGAAGATCAATTCTAACCCGGATCTTCACGGATTGGTCACAACGATATCGGAATAGTTGCTCTGTGTTCATCAGTGACGCAGTGCACGGACACTCGCGAGAGGGGTGCAATTAGTTTTAGCTAGGAAGACCAACACAGGTGTGTATTGATGATTCATTACTGCAAGAGAGTTATCCCCCCTTTGATTCCCAGCCCAAACGTTGCGCTCCTGTTAAAGAATCACTCATAAGCATTGATAAAGTGAGCACATGTTTTTTTCATCCCACCTGAACCAAACACAAGCGCGCTCACGCAAGCACACACACACACACATTCTAATCATATTTCTCTCAAACACAAATTTGTAATATTCCATATAACAACTAACATAACCTGGAAACCTAATGTTTATCTCCTCACTGATAAAGGAGTGGAAGACGCTGAGTATGTATACTGTTATTTCTTCAGGAATGGCATGATATTCCAGGTACTAGTCCGCTGTCAGTAACTGATGTGGTGTGATATTTGGTAACTTTCTCAGATTTCAGTATTTGTCCTTTCTCATGAACTAATTTGTCAATCCATGTTGCCACGAAAGTAAGCATCCTGTCCGTATTTAACATGTTCACCGGAAATGTACCTGGTTGTCTTCAGTTTCTTATAGGTCAGGGTGTTCGACAAACGTGTTTTGCTGCTTATTGTCAGACTGAAAAGCAATAAAGCTTTGTCGCTTGCTCGTGTTTACTTGTAATTACTACATTACGGTTTAAAGCTAACTGAGGGTTTTGCAAACAAATGCAATATCACACATCCAATCAACCTTTCAAATAAAATGAATTTCCTGTCAACAAACATAAACCATCAATGCCAGAGTTTTAAAACGCTTGATTTTCTGCCGAAAGGGATTTCAGTGCGAGCAAAAGGCAAAATGTTATTAACGTTGTATAACTGGATCACCGAGAACCAGTAGAAATCAGTGATGACAGCAGAATTCCTTAAATACATGGTTTTTTTAAATAGTATTTTTTATTGAATGATCCTGTTGCATAATAATTTGTTACTCATGAAGAATTAAGACAATAGCATTTCATTTAGGCTGACGGAACATTTTCCACCTGGGAAGGTCAAACTCAAACTCAAAATTCCACTACACAGAAACAGGTTTGCATAAGGAATCAATACTGCACGATCTGAAACGTATCGAACAAATATGTTCTGAAGATACAACTTCCCCTACACATTCATGCATTTATCAACACACCATTACCATTACGAGTCTGCCGCATGATGTCTGCCAGACTGCAATAAAACACTACAATAATATTTCCACAATACACAAGGAATAAAAAAACATGTTTTGATGAGATCGTGATCATGAACCAAGAAACAGGATTAGATATACCTGAGAGCACGCGACCGGAAACACGGAAACGACAACAATTAAACGAACAGACAGCATCCTTCCGAACAAGGCATGCGCAGATCAAGGAGGTTTTGTACGCATGTGAACATGTTTGTGGGTGGTGGCGCCTGCAGCTGGGGCCGCTGAACAAAAGAGCACAACAAACTAAGGATGTTATTTAAAAGTCATCTCCTCAGCTCTCTTGACAAGGCTATGTTCTGTAATAGTGAGTGAGTGAGTTTAGTTTTACGCCGCACTCAGCAATATTCCAGCTATATGACAGCGGTCAGTAAATAATCGACAGACAATCTAGTGTTCAACAGCATGAGCATCGACCTGCGCAATAGGGAACCGGTGACATGTGTCAACCAAGCCAGCGAGCCTGACCACCCGATCCCGTTAGTCGCCTTTTACGTGTTCTGTGATAGCTTCATATGTACACTTGTAGGAACATATATAAAATATGATGATCCAGTAACTGTGATGAAAGCCTTACTGCATGCAACCAAGTAGGTTGACTAAATGCGGTTTTCAGGTTTGTTGTTTAACGTCGGAATCTGCACTGTTCCAGCTATATGAGGGCGGGTGTAATAATTGAGTCGGGACCAGAATTATTTAGTGATCAACATCATAAGCGTCCATCTATGCGAGGTGAGGTGAGGTGAAATTGGGTTTAACGTCGTGCTTGAGAATAGTTCGCTTCATATGACGACGTGCATGCGTGTGTATGTGTATGTGCGGCTGCTTGTACTAGCCCAGTCTGAAGCTGCTTTTATAGTGCTAGCCCACTGAGATACCATGCCGCAGTGAAGCATGAATACCCCACTCAGACACATTATACTGATTCCGAGCCGACCAGTCCTAGTTGTACCCATTAATGCCGAGCGCCAGGCAGGGACCAACAAGTACCATATTTTAACGTCTTTTGGTATGAAGCGGTCGGGGATCCAACCCGCGACCTTCCGCTCTCCGGGCGGACGCTCTAACCACTACACCACGGAGGTGGTCCCATCTATGCAATTTGGATACCATAACATGTGTCAACCAAGTTGGCGAGCTCTACCACCTGATCCCTTAGTCGTTTCTTAAGACAAGCCTGGATTGCCGAAGACCAATTCTCATCCGGATCTTCCGGGTTTCAGCCCTATGGTTCTGACTACCAACCACTGAGTGTGACCATCCGCTCCATGTCACTCACCCTGTACATACACAGGTTGTTGAGAGTAGTTTAACACGAAATCCCCACAAAGGCTGCTCAGAGACAAAAGTGAAGAACAAACTATACTGTGTGGCTTTTTTATAACTTTAATCCAGTTGAAAATTACATACAAAAGAATTGTCAGTCTGTGCAAAGGTTTGCTATCATTATATCAGATCCTAATCTATCAAAAATAACCACTTCACCACCATAAATATGTATGTGCCAAGTGAAGAAACAATGTACACTTTTCAATGATCTGCAAACGACATCTTGTATCGACGGACGAAAGGACGGACGTAGTGTATTTTTATAACCCCATAAACGCGTTGCTGGAGGTAATATACTACCATCTGAAATCATGCAACAAGTTTTGGAAAACATAATTACTATTCCCAGTATAACAATAGAAAAACACACGGAAATCGTATATTATCAAACTGCCACACACAGTACACTCCAATCATTTTCTTGCCGAGAGTTACTGAGCCATATGTCGCTGAGTACTTTCGCACTCTTGAATGAACCAAAGGATTAACGTATCATGGATCTATTGATCGTATACATGGGGCGCATGGGGCGAGAACGTTAACATTCAAAAGACGAACCTGCTTAAACACGTGCATCTATACATCTAGAACTTGTATTCTTGTTTTAATAAGCACACCATTTACAATCTGTAGGATATTATATACATTGTATATCAACTGTAAAATCATTCAGCGGTTCACAGATATGGCGGCAGTTTGTAAATAAGTCTGGACCAGTGTGGACCAGACATTCCAGTGATCAACAGCATGAGCATCGATCTACGCATTTTGGGTACTATGATATGTGTCAACCATGTCAGCGAGGCTGATCACCCGATCCCGTTAGTCGCCTCTTACGACAAGCATGGGTTTCTGAAGATCAATTCTAAGCCAGATCTCTACGGGTCAATCGATATCCAGTGAAAGAGGGCGTCTGTCACTTTCAAGGTTAGTACGACATAGCAAGATACCCACAATATTATTGGCAAAAGTGACAGAAGGCTTAAAACAGATTGCAAATGTGTCATACGATTAAATGTCGACAAACGAATTACACAAACAGAATAATGAAAGACGACAAGGCAAATGCCAGGAAAACCAAGAATAGTTTTCTCTCCAGTGATTTGATCCATTTCCTCCCTCTTGTCTTCGGGACTTTTGCCTCACTGACTTCAGTTTCAATCGGAGACACCTTTGCACTTAGTTTATCGAGATCAAGTCCATCACGAGGGTTCATCTCGACAGGTGTCGCCTCAGTGCTGGACAACTGTTTGTCGTCTGCTCCATGATACAGATTGAGGAGGCCAAGTGTAGTCAAGATGGCGGCACAGCTTTGGCAGAACACCAGGATCAGGTAAATGGCGAGGCGGGACGGAACTCCAGACTTGGGCAACACTTCAATGACGAAGTTAAGGAACACAGCGTACGTGACGAGGATTGAGATGAGGTAGGAGATCTTCTCTCCCGACTCTACAGGCAGAAGGAAGGCACAGGCGTTCATCACGGACAACAGAGACACGGGTGTGATCACAGTCAGAAGATAAAACGTGTACTCACGTGACAGACTGAAGACAATTTTGGCAACCTCATCAACACCATTAACCTTGGGTAGCTTTTCTACACGCAAAGAAACGTTCTCTACATTCCATTCGACGCTCTTCCCCAAGAAGCTGGTGAAAGGGTTGGATTCAACACGAGTATGGTTGAAAGAGTAACCAACCAAAGGATTGAGGAAGATGCCACACTTCTGCTTGTCAAAAGGATAATGTGTGACATCGACGAAGCATTGAGTGTGGAACAAGTCAGTGATTGTCATGGAAACGTGACCATCTCCAAAGCCATATATCAAGGCATTGGTAGTGTCTAGTGGAGGGCCAGCATTGTTGGAAAACACTACTGTGGGCGTCCATATTTCATTTGTCTTCAATTTCAGATAAGTAGGATTCTCGTGTGATGAACTGTTCCAAACAAGAAGTGGGTCATACCACGTGAAAGTCAAAGTTCCAAAGACTGTGAGGACCTGACTAGCGACGTCGAGACCCTGGAAATAAAGCAGAAAGAAGGACACGTTCACAGTGACCAAGTAAGGATCTTCTAAGGGCGATGGCGGAATGTCCTTTGGGTATCCATGAATCAGAGTGTCTCGAAACAATTGATGTTTTAATCTACTCGATGTGTTCAGACCCACAGCATTTGATACCATTGGAATAATCAGTATGATATTGATCCACATCCTGGAGGCGATAAAACAGGACCGCTTGTGACAAGTTTCTCTCTGACCAAAAACCTGTACCACGAGCGTGGTACCGTCTATATATGTATTTGCTGCACTTAATCTATGATAATGCCTGCAAACATTCGTTGCTGCATTTGTAAATGCATTAGTTGATTTCTATTTGTAAATTGCAATGCTTTTCCTCCACCGAAGATCGATTCTGTCAAATTGACTGATGCACTGAAATCCTTTGAACAATATGTAATAAGTGTTTTGTAAACGGTGAAATAGTGTAATGGCTTCTGTAGATCAATGATGCGATTACTCCACGCACATGACGTTAATTGCGGTATCAGTGATTCGATTTGCCTTGTTTAATGTATTTGAAATAAGGAACAAAACCCATTCAATATTCATTTGAACTCTCGGTAAAATTGAGAACGTATTTCTGAATAGCAAGTAAACAACAGTGATACTTGGTGTCCGCGAAAAAGATAAAATTATACTGCGCCACCTGCAACACGTGTCACAATAGATAGAAGCGACAAAACCCTTTCCACATTCATTAGAAATATCGGCTAAAAGCAGAGTCGATTGTACAATTGTGACTATATCATGAACATATGCTAAGCAGCAAAAGAAACGTCAGTTTGGAATTTTCCGTCGCAGAAACGGATAACTGTAAACTCATTTGATGTTTTGATTGTATATTTTTGACAACATCTCCAACTTTACCTGAGCAAAGAGGAACCAGGCGCTAGGAAGACTTGAAGCTGGTCACACTGCACAAGCCGTTGCCAAACACTTCCAGGTCAACGTTCGGACCATGTACAGGCTGCGGCAACGTTTTCGGGCCACCAACACCACAAATGATCGCCCCCGTACTGGCAGACCAAGGTTGACCACAAGACGACAAGACCCCCATTTTGTGCGACAGCATGTACAGAATCCCTTCATGCAGGCATCCGAAACAGCACGCCAGACGGAAGACCAATCAGTACTCATACAGTACGCCGACGTCTTAACAGCGGAAACCGTCATTGCCGTAGACCTTACCGTGGACCTATCCTCATCCCTCGTCATCGGCGTGAACGTCTACAGTTTGCCCTACAACACCAAAACTGGCGATACAGGCAATGGAGAACTGTTCTGTTCAAAGGTGAGAGTTGGTACTGCGTATCAACTGCAGATGGCAGAACAAGGATATGGCGACGACGTGGCAAGCGTTACCCAGACCAAGGTGTTACGGAAAGAGACTCATGGGGAGGTGCAAGCATCATGGTATGGGGTGGAATAGGCCTGAACCAGAGAGTAGGTCCTGTGGTGTTCCAGAACCTTGACCCGGGGAGAAGGGGCGGCATGACAGCGGTGCGCTACATCGACCAAGCTCTCAGACCCCCGGCCCCGTCATACCACATTTCACACGTCACCGGAACAACATTTTCCAGCATGATAAAGCCCGGGCCCAAAATGCCAGAGCTACACGGGACTTCCTACAGCAGAACGGTGTCAACATTATGCAGTGGCCAGTGGTCATCTTTGGGATGAAATTCAGAGGAGACTGAATAATGTCATACCAAGGCCGAACACAGCCGATTTATCGTTCCAGGCCTTTCTCAGAGTGTAGTTCAAGGTGCCAATGGCCTTCATCAAGCGATTTGGTGCACTCGATGCATAGACGCTGTGCTGCAGTTATTGCCGCTCGCGGTGGTCACACTAGATACTGAATGGATTGCAAACGTTCACGTAATGTCTTGAAATTGTGCTGAGTTATTCATTGATGTGTCAAGATATTGTACATAGAAAATGTTTTTGATCCGCTTATTATGTCCATTTCTGTAATGATTTGATTACAGTGCCTATCTAATTTTGAATTCGTACTGACGTTTTTTTTGCTCTGAGTATATAATTGTTTCAGAAGTATTACAGCTGTTGTATGAAAAGAAAATCGAGTATGGACCAGACAATCCAGTGATTGTCACCATACAATGTGTAGTAAAGAGCGACTCATCACAAGTTTTGTGACGAGTTGAGGTTTCTAGCTAACACAGTACACCATCAACGAACGCTGTACTAATTATATTGGGCTTTCATTTGCTGCACTTCATCTAACTGCCAACATTCAAGAAAGTGAGGAAGTGTTTTGCATTACGTCAATGCCAGTATAGAATCGTTTGGTCGTGTGACTGAAAGTGAAATGAATATAATGTTAATACTACAGAGCTTGGTCAACGATGAAAGATTTTACTGGATTCAGTAGATGTCAAATACCAACAAAGAGGAGATTTTAGCACGACAGACGTTAAAGTTTTCCCTTGTGGTCTGTATTCGTGATAATATTCGTTGTCACAGGAGGCTTCACTATGATCATTGGCAAGGAAGACATTCAATCATAATTAATGCTAATGAATACATAAAATTGTAATGGAGGGAGTGCCCATGGTCACAAGTCTATCGGAATATCTGTTTGATTGGCATTTAGAAGTTGGTGACTAATAAGGAAAGTAAGAAAGTTTATGGATAACAACTTCTTTATTATATATGATGCGACGTTTCGGTATGGATTCTTATACCGTTGTCAAGCCTACATTGGCCTCGCCACAGTCACAGTTGATTTTATAGACAACACCTTTGGGTTGATGTTGTCGTTTAGAGGTGTTCCTGCCATTAGCTTTCAGTAGGGTTTTCAGTGGTGTAGAGCTGGTAAAGTAGGTTTCGATGCCTGCTTCTCGCTTCAGGAGACGGCTGATGTGGTGAGAGGTCTTCCCTATGAAGGGGAGGGAGATACGAATAGGTGCTGGTTCAGGTTTGCTGGAGGCCGGTTTTCTTGTTGGGTGGGGTGTGGTGCTGATAATTTCATCGACTAGTTTTGACGGGTAGTGGTTGAACTTGGTGAAAACATGGCGGAGGTGCTGTATTTCACCACATCAGCTCTACACCACTGAAAAACCTACTGAAAGCTAATGGCAGGAACACCTCTAAACGACAACATCAACCCAAAGGTGTTGTCTATAAAATCAACTGTGACTGTGGCGAGGCCAATGTAGGCGAAACCTCCCGGCCGAAAAATATCAGAATCAAAGAACACTTATCATCTACCACCAAATCTGATAGAAAATCGGCAATATCAGACCACATCATCAACTGCCCCAATCACAACATAATTTGGGACAATGTGGAGATATTATCCAAAAACCACCAGGACTTCACCAAAAGGAAACTTGCAGAAGCAGTTCAAATCCGGAGACACAAGCCCTCAATCAACAGAGACCAGGGATATCTCATCCCTTCTGCATACAATGATCTCATAAAAACAACAGATTAGAGCACTTCAGCTATCATTGTTAATTAATCTCATCAGCATGTATATTTTGTTTCTACCTCCACCACCATTGGCTTCCTATTGTCACTACATTATTGCCACCGTGCCTTGTTGTTGTTGTTAATCCCCCTCATTCATTCCTACATGTTGTTATTACTTAATCCCTGTTCATGTATATAAGTCTGTTCTGTGCTGTAGTACTTCACTCTTGCTTGACAACGGTATAAGAATCCGTACCGAAACGTCGCATCATATATAATAAAGAAGTTGTTATCCATAAACTTTCTTACTTTCGTCTATCGGAATAGTTGCTTTGTGTTCATCAGTGACGCAGAGCACGGACACTCGCGAGAGGGGTGCAATTGGTTGTAGCTCGGAAGACCTACACACAGGTGTGTACTGATAATTCAATACTGCAAGAGAGTTATCCCCCTTGGATTCCCAGCCCAAACGTTGCGCTCCTGTTAAAGAATCACTCATAAGCATTGATAAAGTGAGCACATTTTTTTTATCCCACCTGAACCAAGCTCACGCACGCACACACAGACTTTCTAATAATTTTTCTCTCAAACAAAAATTTGAAATATTGCATTTAACAACTGGAAGACCAACACAGGTGTGTATTGATGATTCATTACTGCAAGTGAGTTATCTCCCTTGGATTCCCAGCCCAAACGTAGCGCTCAGCTGTTAAAGAATCAGACATAAGCATTGATAAAGTCAGCGCATTTTTTTAGCCCACCTGAACCAAGCACGCACGCTCGCACGCACACACCCACACTTTATCATCATTTTTCTCTGAAACACATATTTGAAATCTTTCATTTAACAACTGACATAATCTAAAAACATTATGTTTATTTCCTCAATAAAATATGACTTGAAGGCGCGGAGTTAAACATGATGAGGATTGGATCTTTGAACTTTTTCGGAAGTTTCTTTCTAATCGTTTTTTTCTCTCGTAACCAAATTTCAAAATGAAAATGTTCCATTTAACAACTAACGTCATCTGGAAACCTGATGTTTATTTCACCAATGATATAGTACTCGATTACGCTGAGCATGTATACTGGTATTTCTTCAGAAGTGACAGCAGCATATTCCAGGTACAAGTGATATGGCGTAATATTTGTAAACTTACTGAAATTACAGTATTTGTCACCACACGAAATGACTGTATTACCCAAATTTACTAACGTCAGAAAATACTCGTTTCATCCGGCGGCCATATGAACAACGTTTGAAATCTACGTATCACCTTGCCGTCAGATTTACACACGTTTAAAGGGGTGTTAAAATAAACCAACATTCAACTCTGCATTTACATGTATTTCACAGGTGTGTAAATCTGGCCATTGTTTTCATGTGTTTCCTAACATGTGTAACATATGTAAATGCTGTGATTGTAGGACATGCATTTCAATACCCTTGAAATCTCGTATGACCAGGGTTAGATTTGTCGTATATTTAGTACATGCGTAAATGGTTGGAAATGGGTGAATATAGTGTAACATGATTAGCACTACTTTAACATGTGTTTCAATGGTTCTGTAATGTAACTGTCACATAGGGTTCGTTAGCGCGTCCGAGCACGCCATAATGTACTGAGATAATTAGAAACACATGGTGAAGTGATACCCATGACTGAGCACCACAAATAACGTGT